GTCAGTGGAAGAAATAAGCACTTTTGAGGAGTGATTCATTTCATCCCAAGGTAGACAGCCAACAGACATCAGATATGAGCACTACTTTAAAAGTATTAATGCCCTATTCCAATGGCTAAAACAGCAACTGAAGAGTGATCACCTCAGATGTATACATCGCTGCTGCATTCTAAGTGTACAGAACTTGCAAAAGGAATACTACTCCATAATCCAGTGGGGAAGTCTTCAGAGGTGCTGCTATTAATTCATTAACTTGTATTCACATACAGTGAGGCAAAAGGCTAAAGAAGGTGATTAACTGCATCTAAATATGGATGAGGGATGACATTTGTTCCAGAAGTCCAGCTCCAGTATACATTTTCCTTGACAGTTTAAGATGTTTCTAGCTCTCTCTCTGCTTTGCTTTCATAGCCTGTTATTTCCCATCTCAGAAAGCTTAAGTAAAAGTAATATCACATGTTGTTTCCTGCACACACACAAATATCAGAAAGGGGTATCAGATTTTCCTAGAAATGTTGCAAATTTTGAATTCAGATTATACAAGAGCTAAACCAAAATAGGATTTGTTTTAATCCAAAGATAGATCTTATCATAGAATCATAAAATCACAAGGTTGGAAACGACCTGTAAGATCATCTAGTCCAACCATCTTCTCATTACCATTGCTACCACAAACTAAACCATATCTCGTAGCTCCTCATCCAGGTGCCTCTTGAACACTGCCAGGAACGGTGACTCCACCACCTCCCTGGGCAGGTCATTCCAGTGCCTGACCACTCTCTGAGAGAAAAAGTTCTTCCTCGTGTCTAACCTAAACCTCCTCTGGCACAACTTCTGGCCATTTCCTCGGGTCCTACTATTTGCCTGGGAGAAGAGGCCAGACCCTTTTTCACCACAACCTCCCTTCAGGAAGTAGTAGAGTGCGATGAGGTCTCCTCTGAGCCTCCTCTTCTCCAGACCAAACAATCCCAGCTCCCTCAGCCGCTCCTCATAAGATTTGTGCTCCAGACCCCTCACCAGTTTTGTTGCCCTTCTCTGGACACGCTCCAGGGCCTCAATGTCTTTCTTGTAGTGAGGGGCCCAAAACTGAACACAATACTCACCAGTGCTGAGTACAGGGAGATGATTATCTCCCTGCTCCTGCTGGCCACACTATTTCTAATGCAGGTGAGGATGCTGTTGGTCCTCTTGGCCACCTGGGCACACTGTCGGCTCATGTTCAGCCGAGCATCAACCAACACCCCCATGTCCCTTTCCTCTTCACAGTCATCCAGCCACTTATCCCCAAGCATATAGCGCTGCATGGGGTTGTTGTGGCTTTTGAGTTATAGTCAAAAAACTGCTACAAATTAAACAATGTTTAATATGATTATGTCTTATCAAAGGGAAAACAGATATTAAATTAAACGCTTTAGATGGTTAATAATTAGCCAAGAGCTTTAGGGCTGATTTATTTTGGATTATCTCTAAATCAGTAGAGCAACACAAAAATAACACAATTGCAAAATAATTTTCTACATACAATTTTGCATCAGTTTAACAGAACAACACATTTAGATGTTACAGATATACAATTCTTGAATAGTAATTCAAGAAATAGAGGTCAATATCTAATTTCCTACTTTCTATTAGAATCACTGTGTGATGGAAACAACTATACTGTCAATGCCACGTCAACAGTATTGTTGTTACTTACATTTTTACAAATCCCCAGTGACTGTACTTTTTGATTCTTGAAGTATAAGCTAATTAGTTGGTCAATTAGTGAGTCTGAGTAGCTGATAAATGCTCTCTGAGATGTCAAGACTTGACAATTGCTTATAAGGAAATTTCTCTGCTCTCACAGCTGTTCTACTCCAGCATTTCAATCTCTGCCCAGGCAACAGTATCCTAATTTTCTGCCTGGCTTTTGACTAGTTCAATCATTGGAGCAGCCCTGAAAACTGAAAGGAATACAGACATAGAAGAAAGTTCAAGAGGGCCCTGCTGCATTATGGGCCACCATTTATAAAACTGGTAACAGCAAACCTTCCCTGTAATGCTTCTGGTTCCAAACCTGGGCCACCTAGCTAGAAAAGGATCTGGTGGGCACCAAGCTGAATACGAGCTAAGAAATGTACCCTTGCCGTGAAGAAGGCTAAGAACTTGTGGATGTTCCATCCCTAGAAGCACTCAAGGCCAGACTGAACGGGGACTTGGGCAGATTGGCAACCCTGCCCATGGTAGGGATTTGGAACTGGGTGGGCTTTGAGATCCCTTCCAACCTAAGCCATTCTATGATTCTTCGACTGTATGATCATAGGCTGCACTGGACAAAGTATCAACAGCAGGTCAAGAGAAGTGATCCTTCCCCTCTACTCATCAGTGGTGAGGCCACACCTGGACTACTGAGTCTAATTCTAGAAGGATAGTACAAGTGAGACATGGACATGCAGGATAGAATCCAATAGAGGGTCACAAAGATGATGAAGGAACTGGAACATCTTTTCTGTGAAGTGCTGTGGCAGCTAAAGCTAAAAAAGTGAAGCCTCGAGGGGGCTCTCAACAATGCATACAAATACCTGAAGGGAGAATGTAATGAAGACAGAGCTGCTTTGTTTTCAGCAGTGCCCAGAGACAAGAAAGAAGGCAATGGGCACAAACTGGAGCGTAGGAGGTTGCCTCTGAAGCACCTCTGAAGACAGCACTTCTGTACTGTGCAGGTTACAGAGCACCGGGACAGGCTGCCCAAGGCCAGATTAGATGGGGCCCTGGGCAGCCTGGTCTAGCATAAGGCGGGAAGGTTGGTGGCCCTGCATGTGGCAGGGAGGTAGGAGATTCATGATCCTTGAGGTCCCTTCCAACCCTGACCATTCTGTGATTCTTTGCCCAGAGGCTGTGCAGTCTGCTCTTTGGAGATCTCCAAGAGCCGCCTGGCCGTGGACCTGGCACCCTGCTCTGGGTGTGCTGCTGGGGCAGGGGCCAGGCCTGACGGACACAGAGCTGTGTGCCAGCACGTCATTCTGTCATCCTGATTCTCAGCGCACTCTCTGAGCATCTGGTGGTTTGCTCGTGGAATTCCTAAGCCAGGACTGTATCTGCATGACAGATATCCACTGCGTAACTTTCCTGATATCTTTTTTTTTTTTTTTTAACCTAGCGACTCTCCGAGTTAATCCCCGCGTTCTGCTTTCCCCCAGCTCCCAGCCGCCAGTCTGCCACCCGCACACACACACACACGCCGCCTGCCGCGGCCCGGCCTCCCACAAGATGGCGCCGCAGCTCCGCTGAGGGTCGGGCGGAAGCGGCGGACGAAGCCCCGCTCGCGGTGCCGCGCTGCGTGCGTGCCGGAAGGGAGCGACGGAGCACCAGGGCCGGTTCCCCTCGGTTCCCCACGCCGCTGGCCGCCCGGGTGGGTACGCAGGCTGCGGCCGAGGCCTCTCCCTGACGCCGGGAATGCTGCGGGAGGGACGGGCCGGGGAAAGCGGTGGCGCTAGCGGGAGAACGAGCAGTTCGTGGGGAGTTGGTTGTGCTTTCGGAGCTTGGGCGCCTGGTGGGGGTGGGCAGACAGGCAGCGTTTGTCGCGAGCAAATCGGCTTAAGGGGTCGGGGCTTTTTGTGTTTCCTCCACAAAATGTTGGTGCTTCGGGGGCACGGCCCCGCGTGTGCTGCGGGCAGGCCTCTATGGGAGCGTGCTCCTGTCAGCCCGTGGCCTTCGCGCTTAGCAGGGCCGTGGCCTGTTGGTCTTTCTTGTGCTGGCGATGAGCTAAAGGGCTCTAAGCAGAGCGTGGGCACCGCGTATGTGAGAGCAGGAAGCTGGCTTTGCCTTCAGAACCTATGAGGTTTTGTTCTTTTCCAAGCTAATGACTGAAGCGATGAGGTCCCATGAAGCAAAAGCTGACAGGGCTGCTGGTGATTGCACTGCACCGTTGGCCTCAGCTTTTGGGCCCACGTGGCTTTTGGGTTTGTGTCCTGGATGTCAATCACCCGCCTTTCATGGCAGCACAGGGTTACTGCCTCAGGCTCTGCTTGGCTAGGAAGTGCCATAAGAACCTCTAAAGTTTGATCAGCGTGCCTTGTTTACAGCTGTGTTGGTTAAGCCAGCAGTGATTGTAATTGTGACTAAAGTGCAATTTGTTTGCAGGAGTTAGCACTGCTGGTGTATGAGATTGCTATTGCTACAACGTCTTCACACCAAAGTCTTCACGTTGTTCTCTTTGGATGATGGCCAGCTGTGATTGAATCCTAAGTCCCAGACAGATCTTGTGTTTATGGCCATTCTTAGAGAAGAATGCAGTTGGGAATTTTTCCTCTTTTTCTTTCTTTTTAGGGAAATACTGGTATAACCAACTGTCTTAGCAGTCACAGAGTTGAAATTTCTTCATGATTGTAATTAAGGCACTTTGGTATTAAAGTTAACATCATGCACCAATATTAATCTAAGGCATATCATCAAAGCACTACTCAGACAGTTCACGCTCCTGGTAATTCTGCGTTAGAAGTAAGCATTAGAATTTTGTTTTGTTTGTTTTTTTTAAAAAAGGCAGTAGGTGTTTGTCAGAAGATGCACACTATTAATATAGATGACTTGCTTTATCTTACTAAACTTTAGGATTATTTCTAAAGAGCTTGAAGTGGGTGAGGTTGAAGTACCCAGTGCAGGTTGATGTTTAACACCTTAAATTGTTAAACTTCCACCTATGGGACATTGTGGAAAAATGGGTTCACGGAGGTGACATAGTTTGGCTTTGAATGCCAAAACCATCTGGGAGCTCAAAAAGTCTCTGAACTCTCTGTTGCTGAAATAATGACAAATGTAGTTAGAGAAGTATTGCATATGTACTTACTCTGTTTTTCAGAGTATCTCTTGCTACCCATTGCCAGAAACGAGGTACTGAGTTAGGAAGATCTCTGGTCTTATTTGGAGAAGACACTTCTCAAGGAGCAGAAGTATTAGCAACAGGCAAAGTTTGTAGTCCTCTGTTGTCTGTCTGTTTGGGCATTTCTTGTGCACATGTAAATTACTTTTTCAGGAAAGCTTTATATAAATGTTTTGGTGAAGAATGCTGTTGAATTTCTTGAAAGTTCACCTTTCTTTAATAATATCTTATATTGTGTTCTTATCTCAGTACCACAGAATGGTTAATTTTCCAATCATTAGTGTTCTAAATAAAGTCAAGTTCTCTTTCATCCTAAATTAATGGGCCTTTTGACCTGTACCTGTAGGCTCCAATATGGCAGCCATGTGACAGCACTGTATCTGACATACCAGAAGATGGTTTTGCTTCCATACATGTGCTGTCAAGTCTTAAAATACAACAATTGGTCTCAACTTCATTTGACTCCATACAAATTGAGTGCTGTCACTACTTTGATCAGACGTAATTACTTTCACTAATGTTTACTTGGCTGATGCTGATAAAAGCATGTTTCGATTAAACGCATTGCCTCCATACTTCATTATCTGTGGAGAAATATTCTAAAACTGAGAAAAGGAAGCAGTAAAACTTATCAAAGAGAAAACTTTCTTTTGTTAATTTCTTTCATATTTGATGAACTGAATAGAGTTGAATAGTTTCACCAGGTTTTTTCCCTTCTTTCTCTGTTCCCCATTAGAAAGCACACGTACATGTCGTATATTAAGAATAAAGTATCAAACTTCCCCGGTTACTGCTTTAAAAAATACATTTACATTAAGCTCTGAATCTGATTTCTATTTATGCTGAAGCTACTTCAAAGAACGTTCTGTCATGTAGGAGGAATTAGGGGGATAATGAATGTGAAATGTACCTAATTTTTTTCTGGAAATTGAAGAGTTGGCTACCATGAGCTTAGATTTTTAAGTATAAGGAAGAGACATAGTGACCTTGACAGCATCCAGATGTATATGGGAAAGGGACAGAAAGTACACATTTAAGTCATGAGAATGGAGCTAGAAGTTTTAACAAGAGTTAGCATGGGAAATGAGATGTTTGGGGTGTGCAGAGGGATAGCCCATGAGTATTTGATGTAGGTGTGGATGGCAAATGTTAGAAGTCACTGCAGTGTTTTTCAGTGATCTCAGTTCTGGATTTTATTCTTCCTACTTTAAGTAGGCAGGGGGGAATACAATGAATTCATGCACTTTGTTTGCCTAATGATACAATCCTTTTACTTACTTAAGTGTCAGCTATTGGTTGCAATGGACTGCTTGTCTTTGGAGGGCTCCTTGTTGGTCTGACTAAAGATTTATAGGTTTGAGCTTGTTGTGTGCCATACTAAGGGCAATAATCTGCCTTTGTGGTAGCTTCATGATTTGCATTTTCTTTGAATGTGGCTCATCCTTATTCTTTCACTCAGTATGTTTTATCTTAAGAGGCAAAAAATTGCTGTTTAATTAGAAGTATTAAATGGGAGACAGAGCACAAGTGGTTTTTGTCCTGTATGCACGTGCATTGTGAAAAACCCTAGTTTTACGTTGATATAAATCTACAACAGTTGTAAGTAAGTGCTGTCCTGGCTATATTCCAGTATTGCTGGGAAGAGCCTTTAACTATGTTTTATGGGTAGCGGTGGTGGTTTAGCGTGCTGGGTGTCTGTTTCCTTTCACAGGCATCGTGTACATCAAGTTTTGAATGACAGTCCTGGGAGGAAGTATGCAGATGAAGTAGCTAATGTTGTAATAAAATAATTGTCAGGTAGGGAGGTAAGCTGAAATATTTCTCAGTTTTTCGTGCTGGTAGATCACACTGAAAGTAATGGCAAACACAAATCCAGCCTTAGAATCATAGAATGACTTGAGTTGGAAGGGACCTTGAAGATCATCAAGCTCCAACCCCCTGCCATGAGCAGGGTTACCAATCATTAGATCAAGCTGCCCAGGGCTGCATCCAAGCTGGCCTTGAATGTCTTCAGGGATGAAGATGCAACTTCTCTGGGCAGAATACCTTGTGGGTACAGTAATGTTGTTCATGCTTTTGCTCTTTCCCTTCCTCCCCTTCCCCTCTTCTTTTTTTTTTTTCTTCCTTCTCTCCCATTGCCCATATTCCTCTTTCTTCTTCCTCACATTCAAAAATATCATTGCAACCTGCGTCAGTCTACGTGTCCTTTGCAGGAGATGGGATTGGTTGTCTGGAGAAAAAGATCAGTAAATCAGTAATGTGGAAAATCATTCAGTCTCAGCGTTTGAGGCTGTACAGTAGTAGATGGCTCCCTGTTAACCTTAGTATTGTAGGGGAGAATTTTAAGGACTGGGTTTTGTACTGGCTAATAAAAAACTACTACTAAGAGACATCAGCTAGCCACAACAGAGAAAAGATATTCAATACTATAGGCCATAGTACTGAAGTTTAACAAAAAATACATTGATTGCTTGTGACCATCATAATGCATATTTTTATGAATTAAAAGCTGCTATTTTGTTTTCTAGTTCACTGTGATCATGGAACAAACTCCACAAGAGATGGTAAGCAGTCTTTATGGTTGTCAATGTGATTGCTTAGTCATATTTTATATACAAAATGCATATAAGCACTTTTATTGAATTGTCAACGCAGACATGTAAAAATTAGATGTGAAAATACCTAAATGGCTGTGAAATAGAATTCATATTACAACAGTGAGTGATTTGTCTACTCCTGGAGAGGCTCCAGAGTCATAACAGGAAAATAAGAGGACTCTGATCATTTGCCTTAGATTTATAGCTTTTGTTTTCATGAGGAAATCTCTTATTTCCATTTATTCTGCAGCTGAAAAAGCACAGACATAGAACTAAGATAGACTTTAAAGTGTTCCCTTCCTCTTTCCACACCAGTGTAAAACATGTCTGTAATTTCTTTTTTAACAGATGGATTTTTAAAATTCAAATGTAAAAGGGGGGTCACTTTCAACAGAAAAGCCATAAAAAGTACTTGGACAGGCACCAGCATCACAGTCTTGTCTCCATGAACTGGCTTTTTGTCTTCCTTTCTCCTAAATTAACAACTGGAGCCAGTCAACCAGCTGGATTCCAGAGCCTAAGTAAAGTCACCAAGGGCTCTTTAGAAACATTTAAGAAGAACTGGAGATATTTTCTGAGCTTTGAAAGAACGTGTTGTCATTTTTGGAAATATATAGAATGTAGGAGATCTCTGCTTTTGTGAAGCTGCATGATGTTTCAAAACTGGATTTTTAAGTGGTGGGAAAAATAAAATGTTCTGTAAGTAACCTGTGAATGTATCAAATTCGACAACAGAACGTTCTCATCTGTTGAAGGACGAGGAGTCACTGTGACATTCTTTAGCAAAGTAAGCACAATAAATAAATGAAAAAAACATTGTATATCATAGCTTTTAGGTCCCTGGGTGATTAAGAATGAAGAAACTCCATATGGAAGGCAGATGCTTCTTTTGCACCCACTCGTTTTAGGAATAAATCTTCTCAAATGACAGGTCTTGTAGCAACGCAGTATTGGACTAAAACAAGAATCAATGCCATGAAGTTTAACACCCATGAATTGTTACTTTATGGCAGGGATCATTTATGTGATCTTTTAATTTGGATTGCTGAGCCCCGTAGGCCGTCACGATTAGGGTGCAGTTTTAATCAGAAGTTATTAAGGAATGCAAGTTTGTTTTGTTGTGTGAGGTTTTTTCTTTTTCTTTATGGACTCTCATGGCTGGGGATCTTTTATTTCTGAAAGCACTCAGCAGTTACCTAGAAAGAGAGCATTTATAGACCTCTTATGGAGTAATGGGCTCAGCTTTGTAGAAAGAAGGGAAACATAACAGTTGAGGATTTTTTTAATCTGAATAATAATTACTCCAAGCTCTCCAGCATTTGGATTATTACTTGACAAAAAGAAAATGAAAACAGATATAAGTAAATGAAGTTAACCTACTTTACATTGTTAGCATTAAACGGAAAGTGCTTCTTTTTTTTCTGTTTTGTTTGGGTTTTTTTTTTTTTTTTCCAGAGGGCCATTCTTTTAAAGCTATGGAATTTGTGCCAGTGCAGATCAAGAAAACACATATAAAGATTTTTTTTTCTTTTATGCCTCTAAAAAAAGAATAAAATGAAAAAAGTAATAAAGGGCTGTAAATGTCACATTCATCTCTGAAAACCTTGGCTAATCTTGCCATGGATTGAGTGTTTGCCAAAAAAGTGGTTTAATTAAAAGTCTTCTCATTTAACAGGCATTCTGTTTTGCCTAGATAAAAGATTTTCTACAGAAATCAAGATGGGACAGGAAGGAGAATGGCTACATGTTTTATTTGTTCTAGATTTTAGGTTACTACTCTATGGCTTTCTTTATGGCCTCTGTTATCTGCTGATTTTTGTGAGTAGAGTGAGGACAGAGGTGAAATGGTCTGTATGACAGGGCTTAGGGCTAGAAGGACTGCAGGGCTTTTCAGTTGCTATGGGACGTGGACAGAGTGAAATCGAGCTTTTTCAGGGAAACTAAGCTCAGATGCAGGACAAGAGACGGTGGTGTTGCAATACATTTCCCTCTACAGAATTATTTTTCCCTGTGCTTTATCAGTGGTACTTTGTTACCCTTTTTCATGTGTTGGTTGCTGATGAGTACAAAAGGGAGATTTACTGGCAACTGGAAGTTGGCTAAATACAGACTTGTTTTTGATCAAGGCCATGATGGCTATATGAACTTGGCTGAATTGCCATTTGACCTTTCCTGAGAAACTTATTTTGGCAGACAGATGGAGGAAATATGTTACTGGATAAAATGAATGCCTTTGTTTAATATGGAGGAATTTTAATCTCTTGTGTTTTCTGCCTGCGGATTTGGAAATCAGGTGTTGGTTGTAATGCATACACCTTGGAATGACTCCGTTCTTGGAAGTCATGTGAGTGGTTAAAGGGAATGTGGAATATATCCGCACAGCATTTTCCCTAAAAAACACTGACTTCCATAATAATAGTACAAACACTTGAGCGGAAAAAAACCTCCTGGACTCCACAATTCTCTGTTGCTAATTCTTCCTTGGTAGATATGATGATGAAAAAACAATCTCTCGTAAGAGTAACAAAGTGTAATGCACTTGTACTGTGTTAACAGTTGCCCTTTTCTTTTAGATTTTTTTTTCCTTAGGAAAAGAGCGATCAATGATTAAAATACGAATATAGGGCTTACTCCTCCAGTGTTTTATCTCTCAGTTACTGCTTGTTTTCTCTTCCATGTGTGTCTCCCCCTATTTGGATGCAGGAAGAAACTGAGCCGTGGTATTTTCAGAAAACGTATGCAAGATACTGGAAGCACTATGATTTAGCTATGCGCTGGATGCATAGACACCAGGAAGCCTACAGGAAAGCCATGGAGTCCTTTTATCGTGTACCATGGCCTCCTTATGCAGCTTCTCCAAGTAGCCGCTACTCAGATTGGGATGGGGATGACCCCCCGTGTACCCACAACCATTTTTCCAACTATAGCCCACATGGCAGAGCTCAGCAGTACATGGATGTCCAGCCAGGGAAGGAGGATGATGACAGAGAGGAGGAGGAGGAAGACTCTGAAGTGGAGGAAGACTCGGAGTCCGAAGGGGAGTTTGAATATGACCTGAGTAACATGGAGATCACAGAGGAACTTCGCCAGTTTTTTGCCCAAACAGAGAGGCATCGGGAAGAACTACGTAAGTCTGTGCTTGTTTTGTGTTTTCTTGTGCTTTGTGGTCATGCCATTGAATCGTGGACAGCTTCAGAGTTTACAGGTTGTATAACAGTTATAGAAATAGGCACTGCAGGTTTCACTGCAGGCCAAGTAGATTGAATCAGGCAAAAATGGGTACAGTTGAGTACAATTCATTAGAAATAACTGTTAGAAAAATCTTCAAACGCTTTCTGTGAGAAAGAGAAAGAATTATGACCACAAAGAGGATAATAACATGCTTGTCTAGGAGACAGTATTCTTAAAAATTCTGGGGTTCTTGAAACTGAAGGTTAAATATAGTCAACACGTATGTTCAAGAGGGGAACCCAGAGGAAGTGCTGCACTACATGAACCCTACTGAACCCTGGGGTAAACCTCAGTGTGTACTATATAATGGAGCAACCGTTTTGTTTGTTCTTTTTTGGCTAACCCAACAGTAAAATTCCAAGACCTTTCTCTTGTCTCTGCATCCCTAAGGTACTCTTCATTCTATACTATACCAGAAGTTTCTCTTTATTTTGCATCTTGATCTGGAGCCAAGTCATTAGGCAGGGGATGTAAGCCAAAGATTTAGTATTTATCTCAGATCTTGATCATCATCTTTTTTCTGTGAAATTCCTTTAAAAAAAAAAAAGTTTATTGGTAGTTTATTTCATATACAAATATTGCAGAGAGATTAATGATGTGTTTTTAAAAAGTAATGTAATGAGAACAGCTTTTCCCCTTAACTCAAATAGGAAGTACTGGAATAAGTGTTTAATAGAGCTTTCTTTGCATACCAAAAGAGGGAAATACTCTAAAGAAAAAAAAAAAAAAGGATAATAAAGGCAGTGATTGGGAGGGAGAAATAAAAATCTTGTTATTCTAAGGTCTTTGATCTGAGGTGTCCGGTGAGCTGAGACTCCTCAGCTTTAACTTCATGCTTCTTATCAGTATGGTGCACCGTTTCTGTAGTTAGGAAAGGAACGTGAGCCGAAGAGCTCAAGTGGTAGTATGTGATGTGCTAGCCCTTTTTCTCTATGGTTTTTCAGCATCAGCTTGATGTCTTCTTCTGAAACATTCCTTTAATGAGGTACAGGATACTTTAAGATGCTTGGCTAATTCTAGAAAATGCAGTACTTGTTTTGATTTTTTTTTTTTTTTAATCTTTATGATTAATGGTATTTAAAAATGTGTGAGTGATTAAAGTGGTGTCCTGAAAATGGGGAAATCTGGGCTTACAGATGCTCTTTGTCACGAATATCCTATATGACCTTGGAATAGCTGTTCAGTCTATTCCTGACCCCTCACTGCCTGCTCTTGCTAAAAATATGAAAAATATCCTTTATGATGAGCAGGTGAATCAGGAAGAGGTTTGTGACTCAGAATACAGATTTGACTTCTGTTCCTTCCACCACAGAGATACTTGGAGCCTTTTGGAATATTTAGGTTTCTGCTCTGTGCCATGTACTAGCCTATTTATGGGTAAGCGTGACTTCACTTTCTTCAGTGACAGTATTCCATATCTTTGTCCAAAGTTAAGCAGAATCTGGACTTGAGCTACTGCATGCCTCAGTTTCTTGTCATTTGAAGTTTCTTTGTGGTATGATAAAGCGAGGGTAATACTTGTATGTAATTACTCAAGTCATGAAAAAGTAAACAAGTACTAGATATAATTAAAATACAGAAGTGTTACAGAACACTTGGGTGACTGCTGCTATCTAAATGCTAATTTTACAGATAATGAAAAACATAGTATAAGCTTGTTCAGAAATATTTTTTTCTTGCAGGAGGGAGAAAGAAAAGTAAAATACATTTTTTTGTTCTGTTGAAGTTTCTCGTGTAGCAGAAGTAGCAGGAAGAGGAGAGAATCTTTGTTTCCCTCATTGTATGGTAATGAGCTGATATGGAGATTGTTCAAAGCACACAATAAGGTAGTGTTATTCATTTTCCTGGGTGTCTTTTCAGAACAAAATGAAATGAAATTTAGAAGCTCATTAAACTGCAGTCCATTACACTACCATGTTCTATCTTTCATACTATGCTGAAGAATCCCTGTAGTTCTGTATTGATATTCAGGAAAACTGAGACAATGCAGCTATTTGGACGCGTGTGTGATGAGAGCTTTGATTTACCAAGTTAAATACAGCTGGTTCTCATCCATGACCCATGTCTCATCAATGTGTGGAAGAATAGTCAAATAGACTGAAATTATCAGACTCACTTCTAGTGCCTGTTGAAGAGTCCACTCGAGGTAACAGGGGTCACAGACATTAGGAGAGAGCATCTTCCAAACTTTATTTGAAAGACTTATATAAGCCTGAGATTTAGGAGGGCAAGGCATATGTCTGGGTGGTAAAATACAAGTCTTAATACTAATTGCAAAAAGAAGAGTTTCAGAGAGAAGGAAGCTATTGTTTTAAACTAGCCACAGAAAAGAACTTCAGGTTTAGTTCAGTTTTCAGTAACTAGCACAGACTTACAGGAATATGCCTATTCTTCAGCAGTTTTTTTTCAGTTGTTGGCTGACTTGTACAGTAGAGCCTTTAAAACTGGCAAGCTCTAAATCTTGCTGCATGATTTAACGCTTAGCAGGGACACAGTTGTTCACAAACAACCTTTTTTTTGTCTTTGAATTCATATCAAATTCCTCATAGTTTTTATATTCTCATCACGTGTTGCAGTCAAGTTATGTGTTCCTGGAATGCCCCAAAGTAATTGTGAGCAGAGTTCTGCTGAGTCTGTGTGAGCTCAGACACATTAATGCACCACAAATTTATTCCATATTCTAGATATCCTGTACACTTGGTAAAATTTCTTACAGGCAGTTTTGATTTCTTTTCAGTTGCTTACCTTCATATGCAATCACAATTATTTAGTGTATCTGTTCTAAGGGGTTTTGTTCTTCATCTTAACTGATGATCCCAGTACCCTGCTTCCTTCAGATGTTTTTAGTAGCATTTAGGTCTTCACTAAGGCTGTTAAAAAGCATGAAATCATTGTTCTGAGTTATCACACCTGTCAGACCTAGGTAGTGTACTTTATTCTCCAGGTGTCCTAGATATGAGGGGCTGAATACATTGTCTTCTTACATTTGCAAGACTTAAAGGAACAGAAACAAGAAAGTAAGATTCACGAGCCTAACAATTCAGTGAATTGTCTAATTAATGTATTTTATTTATTGCACTTCCGAATTTAGCCCTTGAAATGTGGTTTGTTGTTAGGCAGTTTTTCTTTGTTCCCTTTTTACATACAAGAGAAGATGACTGCTGTAATTGAGCAAATACGGCCTTGCAAATACATTGAGAACCATTCTGTAGCAGCCAACAAGCAATGAAAGTGTCTTTTATTTAAAAACAAAAGCAAGGGAAAGTACTGTCATGTCAGTTCATTACTGTAGGATAATGGCCTGTCAGTTGTTAATGCTACAACTCTTTTTTTCCATTAAAGCCTCTATTTGTATTGCCCGCATAGGCCCTCCAGCTGTTCCCAAAATAATGTTGTCTCAACTTAAAATTTTCATGCCAGATGGAAGACCTCTAAAAAAAAAAAAGAAAGAAAGAAATTGAAAGGAAATGCTGAATGAAGATGTTTGTTTCAAATCTGCAATTGGTAGTTTTTTTCCCTTGGGTTTCAGAGAAAGATGACAGTTGCCACTGCCTCTTCCGTGACAAGGGACTAATGGAATTTTCCATGTTTTTTAAACTTGTCTGAATAATACCAGATCCATGAAGTTTTTGGTTTTGTTTAAAGCCTTTGTACTTTGGAAAATAAAGGCTTTTATGCTCATGTTTGTTACCATGCTTTACCAAAAGTGAAAGAAATAGATGTTTCTCTCTGTTACTTATTTTGCTCTGTTAGACTCTAGTTCTCCTCTAGATGATCAGCATCTTTTTGCTTCTTTTTCCCTGCCCTGGACTGCTAAAAGTGTGTGCATGGTGACTCTATAAATGTCTGCTTGACTCCTTGGCTTGTCAGCCTTGCCATCATCCAAATTTTTATCACTGTCTTTGTAAGCTGTATTGCTGAAGTTTCTGAAAAGAACTTGTGAAATAGAGTGTTCTCCACAATATATATGGGTGTCTGAGATACGTTTTTGAGGCATGGGGTGTTTTTGTATTTAATGGAAGGAGAAATATCTCTTCTTAATGGTTGAACCTTTTATCATGTAGCAGCAGAGTCTTCTCAAGCGTACAAGCTGCTGCAGCCAATGTAGAGGTTGTTATTATTTGGAAATCAGTGGCAGAAGAATGTCTCCTTGTTGCAGAAACAAAGAAAAGTTCCACAGTTTTTCATCACCTTAATATTGAAAGGTAATCTGTACTTGCAAAAGAAACAAAAAAGGTTCTGAATTGCATTTGCAGAACAACAGAGTTGGGCACAGTTTTATATCTATTTCATAAGGTAAAAGATTAACATTGTACTGAGAGTATCAGCTCGGGAACACAGATATTCCTAGAGAATGTCGTTCCTAGAGATAGTCGAGAAAATGGCCTTGGATCTTATGCTGGAAACAGAGCTTGAGTTTCTAACACGTTTAGCTTTGTTGTGTGGACCTATGATTTTTCCCACTAATCTAGCATGTTTTGCAACTGGTGGCTGTCATACTGCTAAAAGTTTAATAGAACAGAGAGACAAGGTGGCTGTGTGCTTTCTGCCTCACTGGACCAGATACAGTCAGAAATGAATTTCCTCTGTTGCACTGTCAGGAGAATTTTGTAAGGGTTCGTACATAGAGCTAGGAGTTACAAATATCTCTTATTTGTTTTGTGCCTCAGGCTGAGACTTTTTGACAATGTTGGCATCTGCTTAAAGTGTGCAAGCAAAGGCCAAGTGTGCAATCGTTTTGCTTCTGGGATGCTCTAGGTATCATGTCCGGGGTGCTGCAAACCATGCTCTAAGCATGCAGCCTGGGCACTCACGGGGAGCTGAGGCTGAAGCTTTGTCTGCCCATGGCTTTGCTGTGCTCAGTTCTGCCCAAGCACAGTGTGGGTTACAGGTGTT